TCTTTACAGAAGCAGTCTGCCTTGTCTGTCTTCTGTGGAGTGACTAGTGGGTTCAAACCACCAACCTTTTGGTTAACGGCCAAATGCTTTAACTACTACATCACCAGAGGTCTTTCTCATCTGCCCCTAGTAACTTAAAAATATCTTTTGATAACTGTATTTCAATGTAATCCATTTCTTTGGTATGCCTGTGTATTTTATTTATTAATTCAGTAACATTCTGGGAAGGGGTGCCATGGCAGAAAAAGGTTCAGAATCTGGGCCTTATCAGAAAATCCAAAAAGACAGAGCTACAGGAAGAGAGTTTTGCAAACTGTGGGAGCCTGAGCAGAAGTCTGCAGATTTTTTCCAGCCCTGGAACTCTTCAAATGGATCTAACATGTGAAAGACATAAGCCAGAGCTACTCTGTGGAAGGGGTAGGTGGTAAGGTGGTGGGGTATCCCCACCTGAGTGGTCATGTTTATGTGAAACTGTTCACTCCAGATTAGTAAATAAGCTCAAATAAGACCCTGTTTACCTTGCTTGGAGCTCTGATAGCATAGTGGTTAAAACATTTGCCTGCCAACTGAAAGGTTGGTGATTGAAACTCAGCAGCTATTCTGTGGGAGAAAGATGAGGCACTCTGCTTCTGTAAAGATGTAAAGCCTTGGAAATCCTACCGGGCACTTCTGCTCTGTCCTAAAGGGTCACTATGAGTCAGAATTGACTTGATGGCAGTGGGTTACCTTGCTTACCAGGTACTCTGCCCCTGTCAGGGACCATAAATTTGAAAAGAGGCTTTGATTCTGTAGGAAGGTGTTGGATTGGGAGAGATGCCAGCCATACCTAGAAACAGAATCTTTGGTGTAGTGAAATTGTTCACTACAGGTTAGTAAGCACAAGGAAGCCCATGCTTATCTTGTTATTGGGTACTTTGACACTGTTCATTCTGTAGATTCACTTAACAAATATTTGTCAAGCAATGACTGGTTGCCAGGCACTCTTCTAGCACTTACATTCATCAGAAAAAAAACAAAGAATAGGAAGCTCCTTGCCCTCCTGGAACTTAACTCTGAAGGGAGAGAGAGAAACAGACAAATAGTGGAAATAATAAACATGTAAATGATATGTTCAAATTATTTCAAAAAATAAAGCAGGGAAGGGGAATAGAGAGGACCAAAAATTATAATTTTAAAATGAAGTGGTCAGGGGAAGCCTCACTGAGAAGGAGACATTGGAGCAAAGGCTTGAGGAGGTGAGGCGTTGAGCAATGTGAATATCTGATGGAAGAGTGTTCCAGGTAGAAGGAAGAACAGTGCAAAATCCCTGAGGTAGGAATGTGTCTGGCCTGTTGGAGGAACATCAAGGAGGCCAGTGGGTGGAATGGAAGGAATAAGGACAGGGTCAAGGAGTCACTGGGTCACTGTCATGGGTTGAATTTGTCTTCCCAAAATATGTGTCTGTTTGGCTGGGCCATTATTGACACCAAAGCAAACAATGAAGAAATTAAAGATTTCACCAACTTCTGTAGTCTGAAATTGACCAGACATGCAATCAAGATGTAATGACAGTTGTTGGTGATTGGAATGCGAAAGTTGGAAACAAAAGAAGAAACATCAGTAGCTGGGAAATATGGCCTTGGTGATAGGAATGACACTGGAGATCACATGATAGAATTTTACAAGACCAATGACTTGTTCATTGAAAATACCTTTTTCAACTAAATGGCGAGTGTACACATACTTGGATCTCACCAGATGGAATACACGGTAATCAAATAGACTACATCTGTTGAAAGAGGCAATGGAGAAATTCAATATCATCAGTCAAAACAAGGCCAGGAGCTGACTGTGGAACAGACCATCAATTGTTCATATGCAAGTTCAAACTGAAGCTGAATAAAATTAAAACAAGTCCGCAAGACCCAAAATATGGCCTTGACTATCCCATCTAAATTGTAGAGCATCTGAAGAATAGATTTGATGCATTGAACACCAGTGACAGAAGACCAGACAAGTTGTGGGATGACATCATATGTGAAGAAAGCAAACAATCATTAAAAAGACAGGAAATGAAGAAAAGACCAAAATAGATGTCAGAAGAGATATGAAACTTGCTCTTGAATGGAGAGTAGCTAAAGCAAATGGAAGAAATGATTAAATAAAAGAGCTGAACAGAAGATATCAAAGGGCAGCCCAAGAAGAGAAAGAAAAATATTATAATAATCAAAAGGGAAGAACACACTCAGCATTTCTCAACCTGAAAGAACTGAATTAAAAATTCAAGCAATGTGGAAGGATTCTGTGGGCAAAATATTGAACAATGAGGGAAGATCAAAAGAAGAAGGAATGAACAGAATCACCATACCGAAAAGAATTGGTCAAGATTCAACCATTTCGGGAGATAGGATATGATCAAGAATGGTATTAAAGGAAAAGTCCAAGCTGCACTGAAGGAAGTAGTGAAAAACAAGGCTCCAGGAATGGACAGAATACCCGTTGTGATGTTTCAGCAAACAGATGCAGCACAGGAGGCACTTACTCGTTGATGCCAAGAAATGTGGAAGACAGCTACCTGGCCAACCAACTGGAAGAGATTCATAATTTTGCCCATTCCAAAGAAAAGTGATCCAACAGAATGGAAATATCAAACAATATAATTAATATCACACACAAAATTTTGCTAAAGATTATTCAAAAACGGTTGTAGCAGTATATTGACAGTTTCAGAAATTCAAGCTATATTCAGAAGAGGATGGGGAATGAGGGATATCATTGTTGATGTCAGATAGATCTTGGCCGAAAGCAAAGAATACTAGAAAGATGTTTACCTGTGTTTTATTGACTGTGCAAAAGGCATTCGATTTTGTGGATCACATCAAATTATGGATAGCATTGCAAAGAATGGGAATTCCAGAACACTTAATTGTGCTCGTGGGCTGTAGTTCAGACAGAACAAGGGAATACCGCATGGTTTAAAATCAGAAAGGGTGTGCATCAGGGTTGTATCCTTTTGCTATATTTATTCAATCTGTACGCTGAGCAAATAATCCAAATAGCTGGACTATATGAAGAAGAATGCAGCATCAGGATTGGAGGAAGACACATTAACAACTTGCAATATGCAGATAACACAACCTTGCTTGCTCAAAGTGAGGATGACTTGAAGCACTTACTGATGAAGATCAAAGACTATAGTCTTCAGTATGAATTACACCTCAACGTAAAGAAAATGAAAAGCCTTACAGTTGGACCAGTAAGCATCATCATAATAAATGGAGAAAAGATTGAAGTTGTCAGGGATTTCATTTTACTTGGATCCACAATCAACATCCATGGACGCAGCAGTCAAGAAATCAGATGTCATGTTGCACTGGGCAAATATGTCACTTTGAAGACTAAGGTGCGTCTAACCCACGACACAGTATTTTTAATCACCTCATATGCATGTGAAAGCTGGACAATAAATAAGACTGGAAAAGAGTTGATGCCTTTGAATTATGGTGTTGGTGAAGAATACTGAAAATACTCTGGACTACCAGAAGAGTGAACAAATCTGTCTTGGAAGAAGTGCAGCAGGATTGCTCCTTTAGAAGCAAGAATGGCCAGACTTCATCTCACCTGTTTTGGTCCTGTTGTCAGAAGGAACCATTCCCTGGAGAATGATACCATGCTTGATAAAGTGGAGGGTCAGAGAAAAAGGAGAAGACCCTCAATGAGATGGATTGACACAGTGGCTGCAATGATTGGCTCAAGCATAGCAAGGAATATGAGGATGGTGCAGGACTGGGCAGTGTTTCGCTCTGTTGTACATAGGGTCACTGTGAGTCCGAATTGACTTGACAGTACCTAACAACAACAACATTATTGACAGTGGTTTGGCAGTTACATGATGGTGTAATTTGCCAATGATGTAGTGATGTAATCATCCTCCCTGCCATGTGATCTGCTGTGATCAGCTAATCAGTTATAAGAGAATTAGGGTGGGATGCAACACAGTTACTCGGGTCACAGCCCTGATCCAATTAAGAGGAGCCTCCCTAGGATGTGGCCTGCATTGGCTTTTATCTCAGAAGAGATAAAAGGAGAAAGAAGCAAGCAGAGAAGAAGGGACTTGACTACTGCCAAGAGTGGAGGGTATCCTTTAGATATGGGGTCTCTGTGCTGAGAACCTCCTACACTCTGGGAAAGATTGATGCCAAGACACATGGAGATCTCCAAGGAACACTGGGCTCACAGTTATTGAAAAGAGACAGTGACCTTCCTCCAGAGCTGTCAGAGAGAAAGCCTTCCCTTAGAGCTGGCGCTCTGAATTCAGACTTCCAGCCTCCTGAACTGTGAGAGAATAAATTTCTGTTTGTTAAAACCACCCACTTGTGGTATTTCTATTTTGTTGTTGTTATGTGCCGTCAAGTCAGACCCGACTCATAGCGACCCCTCCTTGGGTTTCCGAGGCAGTATCACTATGGAAGTAGATTGCCTCCTTCCAACGAGTGGCTGGTGGGTTTGAACCACCAGCTTTCTGGTTAGCAGTCCAGTGCCTTAGGCACTATGCTACCAGAGCTCCCATTTCTATTTTAGCAGCACTAAATAACTAAGACAGAGGTACAAACTGTTAAATGCTCAACTACTAACTCAAAGATTGGACTGTTTGAACCCACTCAGAAGTGCCTTGGAAGAAAGGCCTGGTGATCAGCTTCTAGAAGTTAATAACCTGGAAAACTCAATGAAGCTGTTCTGTTCTGTACATATGGGGTCACCACAAGTCTGAATTTACTCCACAGCAACTAAACAATAGCAACAAAGGGACAGGGTCAAGGTGAGCAATAGTAGAAATTAAAGTTAATCAGATGGAGAGACTAAGGCCTAGAGAGATAAACTAGCAGAGGAAGTCATAAAGGATGAACCCAGGCCATCTGATCCCAGCTGTTTCCTTGTGGCCACTCCCCCTTTAGTCCATGAAAACCAGCCTGGGGCCCCAAATCTGGTGTTGACCAAGGTACCTGTGTGTCTTTTCACAGGTCATGTCTCTGAGAGCCGGGCAGCGCTGGACGTTGTGCACCCAGTGCGTGTGGATGCAGGGGGCTCCTTCCTGTCCTATGAGCTGTGGCCCCGCAAGCTGCGCAAACGGGACGTGTCTGCTCGGCACAATGTGCCAGCCTTCTATGAGCTGCTGTATCGTGGGCGAGAGCTGCGCTTCAACCTGACCACCAACCGGCACCTATTGGCACCTGGCTTTGTGACTGAAACACGGCGGCATGGTGGCCTGGGCCGTGCACACATCCAGGCCTACGCCCCTGCATGCCACCTGCTTGGTGAGGTGCAGGATCCTGAGCTCGAGGGTGGCGTGGCGGCCATCAGTGCCTGCCATGGCCTGGTGAGTGCACTGGGCATGGAGTGGGGGCAGTGCAATGTGGGGCTTCCACTAGCCAAGTCCTGACTTTGCTGGTGGCCTTGGCCAGTGTGCTTTTCCTCCCTGGGCTTTAGTATTCACTCCTGTAAAATGGGACTGACAAACGTAGGCCTTGTCTAGGGCAGTGGTTCTCAACTTTCACATGCATCAGAATCACCCGAAGGACTAATTTCAACAGTGTCTGAGGAGGTAGGTGTGTGGGGGGGGGCCCGAAAACTTGCATTTCTGGGAATTTCCCAGATAATACGCATGCTGCAGGTCCAGAGACACTACTTTGACAACCACTGTTTGTAGATTGACCAGTTCCCTGGGTGTTACAAACAGTTTGCACTGGACTACAAGCATAACGGTAGGTGGTTCAAACCCACTCACTGGTGCTGGGGAAGACAGACCTGGTGATGTACTTCCGTAAAGATTACAGCTGAGAAAGCCCTATGGAGCAGTTCTACTCTAGAACACATGGGGCTGCCAAGAGTTGAAATTGATTCCACAGCAACGGGTTTTTTTTGCTTTTGTTTTTTCGTAGACTAAATAAATTGAAAGCAGTTGACCCCTTCTTTCTTTGGGGTGTCAGTTATAACTTTGTTCCCCTGCAGAGTCCCTTAACTCCTCTTCTCTGGGGTAGGCACCCTGTACCCTTTAGCCATTTCTTGGGGAGTAGTAAGCCCCTTCTGTCAGCCCCTCTCTGTCCAGATCAGAGCAGGCATCAGCCACTGGACTTTGGGCTGAAGGGTGATGCTGGCTATTGCTTGCAGCCCTGATAGCCTCCCTTTGCTTGAACGCCCTGTTATAGCAGCTTCCACCCCAGGTAGGGTGGGGCCCCTTTCTTCTCTCCATTTAGATGCCTAACCATGCCCTCCTAGTTCTAGAGGGTGCTTGAGGGAGGAATGGGGGATGTGTGCACACTGTTAGCTATCAGCTGGCCTTCAGCTCAGAGTGCTCAGGCAAAAGCCATAGTTAGAACAGGTCCTAATTACAGGGCAGCTTATGCCAATGGCCACAGAATGTCTGGGCCTTTGGAAGCCTATCTGCCCTGGGCTGCAGGGGAGTTTGGGGGATACTGACACAGTGGGTGGATGGGTGGGCTGGTGTGTAAAGTCTGACCAGCCTGTAGAGGTGGCAGCCACTTGAGGTGGCTTTCAGGAGGGAGTCAAGGCAGTCCAGGACCCCCAGGCTTGTGTCTTGGGCAAGTTTGCAGAGGTTGCCCCATTTCCGCAGCAAATCTCACTCCCACCTCCTTTGGCTCACCTTTGGATCATATATTGAGCAAAGGCCTGCTAAGCACCTCATGGGAAAATGTCCCACCACTTGATGTCTGTAGTTAGGGTCTGCCAAGCACCTGTGAACCTGTCATCTCCTTGAAAGGGAGTGGGTATTCCCTGACTAAGGATGAGGGTGTAAAGACCCCAGAGACTGGACACTGGGTGGATCTGAGGATGGATGCTCACCTTAGTAAGGGGCTTACCGTCCTCCAGCCAAGGGAGACTCAGCCTCACCCTGTTACTCACCACCATCCTTCTCTCTCCCTTTGCTGTAGCCACATGGACTTACTTTCTAGCTATGTGACCTTGAGCAAGTTACTCCTCTCAGTTCCTCAGTTTCCTCATCTGTAAAATGAGACTAATCATACCTACTGCATAGGGGAGTTATGAGTAGTAAGTGCTGATTAGAAAGTGCTTGGCACGTAGACGTGGTGGTGTTAGGTGCCCTCGAGTTGGCTCTGACTCGTAGCAACCCTATGTACAACAGAATGAAACACTGCTCAGTCCTGTGCCAACCTCACAGTCCTTGCTATACCTGAGCCTATCATTGCAGCCACTGTGTCAATCCATCTTGCTGAGAGCCTTCCCCTTTTTTGTCAACCCTCCACTTTACCCAGCATGATATTCTTCTCCAGGGAATGGTCCCTTCTGACAACATGACCAAAGTAGGTCAGACAAAGTCTGGCCATCCTCGCTTCCAGGGAGCATTCTGGCTGCACTTCTTCTGGAACAGATTTGTTACTTCTTCTAGCAGTCCATGGTGCTTTTCAGCATTCTTTGCCAACACCACAACTCAAAAGCATCACCTCTTCTTTGGTCTTTCTTACTCATTGTCCAGCTCTCACATGCATATGAGGCAATTGAAAATACCATGACTTGGGTGAGGCGCTCCTTAGTCTTCAAGGAGACATCTTTGCTCTTCAGCACCTGAAGAGGTCTTTTGCAGCATATTTGCCCAATGCAATACGTTGTCTAATGTCTTGACTGCTGCTTCCATTGGTGTTGCTTGTGGAACCAAGTAATATGAAATCTCTGACAACTTTAATCTTTTCTCCATTTATCATGATGCTGCTTATTGATCCAATTGTGAAGATTTTTGTTTTCTTTAGGTTGAGATGCAATCCATACTGCAGACTGTAGTCTTTAATCTTCATCAGTGAGTGGTTCAGGTCATTCTCTTTCAGCAAGCAAGGTTGTGTCATCTGCCTATCACAGGTTGTTAATGAGTCTTCCTCCAATCCTGATGCCATGTTCTTCTTCATATAGTCCAGCATCTCGGATTATTTGCTTAGATAGAATAAGTGTGGTGAAAGGTGAAAGGATACAATCCTGACGCACACCCTTCCTGATTTTAAACCATGCAGCATCCACTTGTTCTTTTCAAATGACAGGCTCTTAGTCTATGTACAGGTTCCTCATGAGCACAATTAAGTGTTCTGGAATTCCCATTCTTCACAATGTTATCCATAATTTGTTAGGATCCACACAATCGAATGCCTTTGCAAAGTCAATAAAACACAAGTAAGCATCTTTGTGGTATTCTTTGCTTTCAGCCAAGATCCATCTGACATCAGCAATGATATCCCTTGCTCTATGTTCTCTTCTGAATCCAGCTTGCACTTCTGGAAGTTCTCTGTCAATATATTGCTGCAATAATTTTTGAATTATCTTCAGTAAGATTTTACTTGCATGTGATACTAATGATATTGTTTGATAATTTCCACATTCTGTGGAATCACCTTTCTTTAGAGTGGGCACAAATATGGATCTCTTCCAGTCAGTTGGCCAGGTAGCTATCTTCCAAATTTCTTGGCATACATGAGTGAGTGCCTCCAGCATAGCATCCATTTATTGAAACATCTCACTCAGTATTCTGTCAATTCCTAGAGCTTTGTTTTTCACCAATTCCTTCAATGCAGCTTTGACTTCTTCCTTCAATACCATTAGTTCTTGATGATATGCCACCTCCTGAAATGGGTGAACATCGACCAGTTCTTTTTGGTACAGTGACTCTCTGTATTCCTTCCATCTTCTTTTGATGTTTCCTGCATCATTCAATATTTAGCCCATTGAATCTTTTAAGGTTGCAACTCGAGGCTTGTTTTTTTTCTTCAGTTCTTTCAGCTTGAGAAATGTTGAGCATGTTCTTCCCTTTTGGTTTTCTAACTCTGGGTCTTTGCACATTTCATTATAATTGACTTTGTCTTCTCAGGCTGCTCTTTGAATTCTTCTGTTCAGCTCTTATCTCTTTTTCCATTTGCTTTAGCTACTCTCCGTTCAAAGACAAGTTTCAGAGTCTCTTCTGACATCCATTTTGGTCTTTTCTTTCTTTCCTGTCTTTTTACTGACCTTTTGCTTTCTTTATGGATGATGTTCTTGATGTCATCCCACAATTCTTCTGGTTTTCAATCATTGGTGTTCAGTGTATCAAATCTATTCTTTAGATGGTCTCTAAATCCAGGTGAGATATAATCAAGGTCATATTTTGGCTCTTGTGCACTTCTTTTAATTGTCTTTAGCTTCATCTTGAACTTGCATATGATCAATTGATGGTCTGTTCCACAGTCAGCTTCTGGCCTCATTTCAGCTGAATATATTGAGCTTCTCCATTGCCTCTTTCCACAGATGTAGTTGATCTGATTCCTGTGTACTCCATCTGGTGAAATCCATGTGTACAGCCACCATTTATGTTATTGAAAAAAGATATTTGCAATGAATAAGTCTTTGGTCTTGGCAAAATTCTATCATGTGATCTCCAGCGTTATTTCTGTCACCAAGGCCATATTTTCCAACTACCAGTGATTCTTCTTTGTGTCCAACTTTTGCATTCCAATCACCAGTGATAATCAACACATCTTGATTGCATATTTGGTCAATTTCAGACTGCAAAAGTTGGTAAAAATCTTCAATTTCTTCATCTTTGGCTTTGGAGGTTGGTGTGTAAATTTGAATAATGGTAGTATTAATTGGTCTTCCTTGTAGGCATATGGATATTATCCTACCACTGACAGCATTGTTCTTCAGGATAGATCTCAAAACATTCTTTGTGACAGTGAATGCCTTGCCATTCCTCTTCAACTTATCATTCTCGGCATAGTAGATCATAGGATTATCTGATTCACAATGGCCAAAACCAGTCCAGTTTTGCTCACTAATGCCTAGTATATCAATCTTTATGCTTCCATTTCATTTTTGACAACTTCCAATTTTCCTATATTCATGCTTCATGCATTCCATGTTCCTATTATTAATGGATGTTTGCAGCTGTTTCTTCTCATATTGAATTGTGCCACATCAGCCAATGGAGGTCCCGAAAGCTTTACTTGATCCATGTCATTAAGGTCAGCTTTACTCTGAGGGGGCAGCTCTTCCCTAGTCATATTTTGAGTACCTTCCGACCTGAGGGGCTCATCTTCCGGCACTGTATGAGACAGTGTTTCAGGGCTATTCATAAAGTTTTTCAGTAATATCTCATGCAGTGTTGCACTGCCATTCATAAACTGACCAGTTCTTTGAGAAGTGGATGGCCCCTTCCTTCTTCCAAGTCTGTCTTAGTCTAGAAGCTCTGCTGAAACCTGTCCACCATGGGTAACCCTGCTGGTATTTGAAATACTGGTGGCATAGCCTCCAGTCTCACAGCAACACACAAGCCACCACAGGACAACAAACTGACAGATAAGTGGTGGTGGCACATAGTAGGTGCTTAGTATGTGTTAGCTTTTCCATACCTCACACATGCCAAGCTCAGAACCTTAGGGCCTTTGCCCAAGCTATTCCCTCTGCCTGGAAGGCTCTTTTCCCCAGTCTTCACCTGGCATCTGTACAGTCAGATGCCAGCTTAAATGTCACCTCCTCAGAAAATGTCCCCTGACTCCCAGTCAAAAGTAGCTGTCTACTCATTGTCACATTCCCTTGTTTAATTTTTCTTACCACATGTACTCCACTATCTCTGGGTTTTGTTTTTGCATGTGTTTTTGTTTTATCATCTGTCCCATGCAGACACATTGGGAAGGGGTGATCTGGCTTCAGAGCCTATGCTCTTTCCCCACCCCCCTGGGGTTACCCCTTCCCTGTTTCCTTTTTAACCTATGCATTCCTGTCTGTCTAGCTTAAGCCCTATGCAAGTGCTGTCCTTCCTTCATGGGTGACTGTTTTAAGGGGTGCATCTCCCTAGGGTAGGCGTTTAGCTCATAGACCTTCCTGTTGTTTGGCTGAGAGCTAACCCATGCGAGTAAGTCCAGTTCCAGGCTGGAAGGGTAACCTGGGGCCATAGTCTTGGAGGGTTTACTGGTCAAAGCCTGTGCTGCCACAGTAATACCACAAAGTATTCTAATTATGCAGCCTATGCCCATCTCTTTATGTACAGTGAATCTTGCTGAGCCCTTGCAGCAGCCACTCAGAGGAGATATGCCCATTTTATAAATGAGGAAACAAACTCAGAGAGGAACTTGGTGGAGTCTGCATTGAAACCCAAGTCTCCAGGCCCTAAAACTGAGGACTTTCCAGCTCTCCAGGCCCACTTGGTCAGCATGACCCAAAGAAGGGGCAGAGTTAATGCCAAAGAAGGGAAGCCTGAAGGAGCTAAATCCTTTCCTGTTGGAGTCATCCACTAGTGGTCCGAGCTTCCTCAGGAGGTGGTGAGCTGTCCAGAAATCATTCCCAAGGTTCTTCCCTTCCCTGGACTCTGGATACTGGGCAGGCATACCTGAGACACCCCCCCCCCCCCATCAGCTTCCTTTCTCTGGCATGCCCTACGTCCAAGGAACAGTATGTCCCAGTGGCTGTGAGCATCTCTGTGGCTCAGGTGTGGGTGGAACAGCTTCTGGAGTGATTCATCATCTCAGGGAAACCAAGGGCATGTCAGAAGCTCAAGGTAGTTGGAAGGGGGTCCAGTGACTGGAGTTGTCTGGCATTCAAAGGAGATACAAAATGGCCTGGAGGCCTAGGATGCCTGCTTGGGAGAGAAGGCTGTCTGGGACCATGTGGAAGAAGCCATCTTGTTAGATTTTGAAGCAGACCCACTTCTCACTTCCTAACCTGAGCTTTGAAACCTCTGGCTGTGTAAAGATGGCAGGGAAGGGTGTTCCAGAAAGAGTGTACAGAGTGAGCAAGGTCCAGAGGAAGGAAAACATGGTGTGTCAGGGATCAGTCAGGAGTGGTGGGAGCAGTATGAGTGCAGCTGGGCAGGAGGGGCTTCTAGGGGTGGGCAGGAGCACCCTGAATGCTATCTTCCCTGATATTTCTTCTTCAGAAAGGTGTGTTCCAGCTCTCTAATGAGGACTACTTCATTGAGCCTCTGGACAGTGCTCCAGCCCGGCCTGGCCAGGCCCAGCCCCATGTGGTATACAAGCGCCAAGCACCTGAGAGGCGAGCAGAGCAGGGTGTTTCCAGGGCTCCGGGCACCTGTGGAGTGCAAGGTACTCCCCTCTGCTGCCATCTCCTAGGTAGGGGATGGGCTTGGGAGGATGGTGGGCCCCTTCTAGAAGCTTCTGTCAACATCTCCAAGTGCTGCTCCCCTTGGACCAGAGGTTCAGACAGGTTGACACTTCGCCATATCATGTGCCTTCTAGCTGTGCCACAGCCCTGCAGCCTCTGCCCGTCAGGCCTGCTTCACGCTCACTCCCACCTCCTCTCCTCTGGGTTCGATCTTCCTCTGCTTCCTTCCTGCTGTGGCACTCCCTGCCCTGCCAATCATTCTCTCTCAAGTGTCCAGGCAAGGCAAGGCCATACCCAGCCTCAGTAGAGCAACTAGCTAGGAACCTCCTTCCCCTCCTCACCCTGCTCCCACCCTACAATAACTGACCTCTATGAGCTTGGCTGGGAGCCTCCTCAGCAGAGTGGCCATAGTGGCAGCCAGTCTGATCCCAGTGCTGTTCCTTCTGTCCCAGAGAGAGCTTGCTGAGGAAGGCCTTTGAGATGTATCCTGGGTCAGTCCTGCTGGCAACTAACCCCTTCCCCATCTGGCCCACAGCATCCCTGGAGCTGGAGTCTCGGCGGGAGCGCTGGGAGCAGCGGCAGCAGTGGCGGAGGCAGCGGCCAAAGCGTCTTCACCAGCGTTCGGTCAGCAAGGAGAAGTGGGTGGAGACCCTGGTGGTAGCTGACCCCAAAATGGTGGAATACCATGGGCAGCCACATGTTGAGAACTATGTGCTGACCATCATGAACATGGTGAGACAGCTGTAGGCAGCAGGCAAGGGGTGCGTGGTAAGGGCCAGAAGAAGGTGGGGGAAGGGGTGCAAAGGGTAAATTTAGGGCAGGAAGGCTCACAGGCTGACAGACCCCAAGCAGGAGGAAGGGTCTAGGAATATGTGGGGGCCTGGCAGGAAGCCATTAGGAGTGGGCTCTCCAGGGCTACTATAGAGACACCATTGGGTTTCACACCACCTCATTGGCTAAGCTGGCATCTACCCACTACCAAGACCAGAGCTGGGTGAGGGGGAGCTCGTGGCAGCCACAATTCTGTGACTACCTGGGAGAGCTCACAGACTGCTTGGTTCATTCACAATGCCCTGAACAAACTCGTTTTTCCTCTGTACCAGGCCTTCCACTGGGCATGGCTCCTGCCTGGGACACCAGCATACATTTGAATTACTAGCTTGTGATTATGGGCAAGTTACTTTACCTCTCTGAGCCTCAGCTTACCCGTCTGTGCATTGAGAATGACCCCATGTGGCAATTGAGATAATTGAAGCCCAGAAGGAATGAGTGCCTTGCTCAGGTCACACTTGCTGTGATGTCCCAAATTCCACTCAGGGTACTTAGTTGATTGGAGCTGATGAGTCCCATGGTGACTGCCATGCCAGCCTTTCTTTCCCTGCTACTTATCCCGAGTTTGCCAAACAGGCCTTAGACGCCAAGCTGCTTCCTGCAGCCTTATGGGAGAAAAGGTCTCTGCCGTGGCATTGTTAGCAGGGGGGAGGCCACCACACAAGACTGGTTCTACCCTGGGCTAGGTGGTTGGGGACACGGGTGAGGGGTGTGTGCTCTGAAGCTGGGTGATGTCTAAGGAAGCCCTGAGGCCTGTGTCATGTACTCTGCTCCCCCATGCCAGTCCCTCACCTCCTACAATCCTAAAGGAAATGCCCTCTGACATCATCAGTCTCCAGCCACCCATTTTATAGCTGAGAAGCCTGAGGGTCAGAGACAAGAAGGAACTCTGTTCATGGTTGTTCTCCCTACTGGCTGGCCATCACATCCCCACTGCTCAGGTCCTCATCTGCAAGCTCAGCTTTGAATCAATCCTTCCCTGACTCAGCCGCCATCACTGACTCTCTGTTCCTTATGAAATACAAGCCATAGCCCTGAACCTGGCATTCAAGGATTCAGAGACCCAACTCAAGCCTCTCTGTTCAGTCTTGTCTGTCTAGGAAGGTGAACCATTAACAGCCATGGTTCTGGGTGGACTGTTGCTGCACAGCAGGGCTGGGCCCCTAAGCTGAGGGCAAGGGGAGAGGCCAGGTTTTTAGGCCCTAAGGTCTTGTCCTTCCTATTCTCACTTCTCAGAGGGCTCAGCCTGACAGAAACCTAGTAGTCTGGAGCCACCGATGGTTTACTGGGTTCATTTCACCTCCTTTTTCTCAGTGTTTCCCTGTGGGCCAGGAACTGGGCACAAGACCCACCTAGCTCTGTGGGCTCCCTCATGAATTTCCTGGGTGCTTGTGATCACCTATGACCCCTAGATCTTACTTTTTACTCACGCTGGCTTGCTTTCTATGCCTGAACAGAACTCTAATTTCTTGCAGGCCATTAACAAACACTTGTTGGTTAAGTTGATCAACCAAACATGACTCCCCCTCTCTCCATGGTCTCCCAGCACCTGTTTTGCCTTCATACTTCCAGGGAGACAGTGAGAAGTATTACATGTGCTGAGAGAGGGGCGCTAAGCTGCTCCTAGCCCTCACTCAGGATATGATGTTGTTGTTGTTAGGAGCTGTCAAATTGGCTTCTGACTCATAGCAACCCTATGAACAACAGAACAAAACACTGCTCAGCCCTGTGCCATCCTGATAATCCTTGTTATCCTTGAGCATATTGTTGCAGCCACTGTGTCTATCCATCTCGTTGAGGGTCTTCCTCTTTTTGCTGACCCTCTATTTCACCAAGCATGATATCCTTCTCCAGGGACTGGTCCATTCTGACAACATTAACAAAGTACATGAAACAAAGTCTGGCCATTCTTGCTTCTATGGAGCATTCTGGTTGCACTTCTTCCAGGACAAATTCTTTGTTCTTCTGGCAGTAGGTCATGGTATTTTCAGTATTCTTTGCCAACATCACAATTCAAATGCATGAGCTCTTCTTTGGTCTTCCTTATTTGTTGTCCAGCTTTCACATGCATATGCATAGCATAGCAACATGCCATTGAGTTGTATCCAACTCATAGTGACCCTGTTGGGTTTCCGGGGCGGTATCACAACGGATGTAGATTGCCCAATCTTCCTTCCAAGTCGCGCGGCATGTGAGGTGATTGAGAATAACATGGCAGGGGTTAGGGGCGCCTTAGTCTTCAAAGTGACATCCTTGCTCTTCAACACTTTAAAGAGGTCTTTTGGAGCAGATCTGCCCAGTGCAATATGTCTGATTTCTTGACTGCTGCTTCCGTGAATGTTGACTGTGGATCCAAGTAAAAAGAAATCTCTGACAATTTCAGACTTTTCTCCATTTATGATAATGTTGCTTATTGGTCCAGTTGTGAGGATTTCTATTTTCTTTATGTTGAGGTATAATACTGAAAACTATAGTCTTTAATCTTTGTCAGTAAGTGCTTCAAGTCATCTTTACTTTCAGCGAGCAATGTTGTGTCATCTGCATATTACAGGTTGTTAATGAGTCTTCTTCCAGTCCTGAAGCCATGTACTTCTTCATATAGTCCACCTTCCTGGATTATTTGCTCAGTGTACAGATTGAATAAGTATGGTTAAGGTATACAACCCTGACATACACCCTTCCTGATTTTAAACTATGTAGTAGTATCCTCTTGTTCTATTCAAATGACAGCCTTCTGGTGTACGTACAAGTTCTTCATGAGCACAATTAAGTGTTCTGGAATTCCCATTCTTCGCAATGTTATCCATAATTTGCTAGGATCCATACAGTCTAATGCTTTTGCATAGTCAATGAAACACAGGTAAACATCTTTCTGATATTCTTTTGCTTTCAGCTAAGATCTATCTGACATCAGCAGTGATATTCCTTGTTCCACGTCCTCTTCTGAATCCAACTTGAATTTCTGGACCTGTCAATATATCGCTACAACATTTTTGAATTATCCTCAGCAAAATTTTAATTGTATGTGCTATTAATGACATTGTTCGATAATTTCCACATTTTGTCGGATCACCTTTCCTTGGAGTGAGCACATATATGGATCTCTTCCAGTCAGTTGGTCAGGTAACTGTCTTCTAAATTTTTTTGGCAGAAACCAGTAAGTGCCTGCAGCACAGCATCCATTTGTTGAAACATCTTAATGGGTATTCCTTCAATTCCTGGAGCCTTGTTTTTTGCCAATTCCCTCAGGGCAGCTTGGACTTCTTCCTTCAACACATTAGTTCTTGATCATATGCCACCTCCTGAAACAGTTGATTGTTCACTAATTCTTTATTGATACGGTGACTGTGTATTCCTTCCATCTTCTTTCAGTGTTTCCCGCTTTGCTCAATGTTTTGCCCACAGAGCAAAACATATTCATTATTGCAACTCAAGGCTTGAATTTTTTCTTCAGTTCTTTCAGCTTGAGAAATGTCAAATGTCTTCTTCCCTTTTGGTTTTCTAGTTCCATTATAATTCTTTCATTGAATTACTTTATTCTTTTCTTGAGCCACCCTTTGGAATCTTCTGTTCAGCTCTTTTATTTCATATATTTTTTTCCATTCATTTTAGCTACTCTCCATTCAAGAGCAAGTTTCAGAGTTTCTTTCTTTCTTTTTTTTTTTTTGCCTTTAAAGAACAGAAATTTATTTTTTCACAATTTAAGAGGCTAGAAGTCCAGATTCAGGGCACTGGCTCTAGGGGCAGGCTCTCTCTGCCACTCTTTTTTTTTTTGATTTGGGTGAAGATTTACAGAGTAAATTCACTTTTCATACAGCAGTTCACATAATATACTTTGTCTCATGTCATTGACCAAAATTTACAATGCAACAGTTCCCCTCCCACTTCCTCCCCATAGTTACCTCTTCCCAGTGTCCATCCCTCCATACTCTTCTGCGCCCTGAGCTGTCTCCCTGTGCATAAGCAGTCCTTCCTTCTCCCATGATTGTTCTCTCCAGGGCGTGTGTCTACTTGAGGTAAATGTTTAATTCACATGCCTGTACTTTGTTTGGCTGGAAACCACAGGTGTGGCTTCAATTCCAGACCTGCAGGGCAGCTAGGGGCCATAGTCTCAGTGGTTCCACCAGGCTCTATTGGACCAGCAAACCTGGTCCCCACCTTCTTTTTTTTTTTTTGCCTCCAAATGATTTTGAGTTTTGTTCCACATTGTTCTCTCTCTCTATACAGGATCTCGTACATCCCTTCCAAGTGGATGACAGTGGTAGCCGGGCACCATCTAGTTCTTCTGGTCTCATAGTTGTATAGGTTGCAGATCGGATGGTGTACCAGTTACTAGGACTGATTGTTTCCATTAATTTTGATCTTCTTCTTCTTGACGAGGAGAGACCCGTTGTTGCATCTAGATGGCAGCTTGCTAGCTTTTAAGATCCCAGTCGCTACTCGCCAAAGTAGGAAGTGGAACAATGTTTTGTATAGTATGTTATGCCAATTGAGCTTGATGTCCCCTGCGACTATGGTCCCAAGCCCGCAGGATCAACTACTCGGTTGCTCTGGGTAGCTGGCTATGACCAAGCAATGACCATAACCTTGCTCCTTGTCAGCTCTACTGTACACCTGGGAATTCTGATCATTCACATAAACTTATAGGACCATTGTCTGCCAACCCTATATATGATCTTGGATACACTCCCCATTTCATAGACATACCTAATTGTTTAGCCTGTCCTCCTATCTATCTGTCCATATACCCTCAGAGTTTCTTTTGACATCCATTTTGGTCTTTTCTTCCTTTCCTTTTTTTAAAAATGACCTTTTGCTTTTTTCATGTATGATGTTCTTGATGTCACCCAACTTACCTGGTCTTCAGTCATTGGTGTTCAGTGCATCAAATCTATTCTTTAGATGGTCTCTAAATTCAGGTGGGATATAATCAAGGTCATATTTTGGCTCTTGTGGTCTTGTTTTTATTTTCTTAAGCTTCAACTTGAACTTGCATATGAGAGATTGATGGTCTGTTCCACAGTCAGCTCCTGTGATATTGAGCTTCTCTATCACCTCTGTCCACAGATGTAGACATTTTGATTCCTATGTATTCTACCTGGCAAGGTCCATGTGTATAGTTGTCATTTGTGGTTGAAAAGAGGTATTTGCAATGAGTAAATATTGGTCTTGCAAAATTCTATAATATGATCTCTGTTGTCATTTCTGTCACCAAGATCGTATTTTCCAACTACTGATGAATTCTTCTTTGTTTCCAGTTTTCTCATTCCAATCACCAGTAATCATCAATGCATCTTGATTACATATTTGGTTAATTTCAGCCTGCAGGAGTGGTAAAAATCTTCAGTTTCTTCATCTTTGGCTTTAGTGCTTGGTATATAAATTTAAGTAATAGTAGTATTAACTGGTCTCCCTTGTAGGTGTATCCTATTACTGGACAGCATTGTACTTCAGGATAGATCTTGAAATATTCTTTTTTGATGATGAATGCAATGCCATTCCTCTTCAGTTTGTCATTTCTGGAGTAGTAGATCATATGATTGTCTCATTCATAATGGCCTGTGACAGTCCATTTCAGCTCCATTTCATTTTTCACAACTTCCAATTTTCTTAGAATCATACTTTGTACATTCCATGTTCCGATTATTAATAGATGTTTGCAGCTGTTTCTTCCTGTTTTGAGTCATGCCCCATTAGCCAGTGAAGGTCCCGAAAGCTTTACTCCATCCATGTCACTGAAGTTGACTCTACTTTGAGAAAGCAGCACTTACCTCAGTCATATTTTGAATGCCTTCCAACCTGAGGGGCTTTTCTTCCAGCACTGTATCAGACAGTATTTCATTGCTGTTCATAGGGTTTTCAGTAGTCATTTTTTTCAGAAGTGAATGGCCCTGTCTTTCTTCTGAGTCTGTCTTAGTCTGGAAGCTCTACTGAAACCTGTCCACCATGAGTGACCCTGCTGGTATTTTAAAACCAGTGTCATAGCCTCCAGAATCACAGCAACATGCAAGCCGCCACAGTATGACAAACTGACAGACAAGTGGTAGTACTCAGGATATAGGGTGGATCAGTTGCTGGGACAAGTCTCAGTGGACCTTTAGGGGTTTCTTATTCTCTGCAGCCACTTCACTGGGGGCTGATGCCAAGTTCATCTATCTGTAGTCTAGGAAAGACTTGTTCTTTGAACCTGATTTTTTGCAGGGTCTTTTCTCATTTTCCACTGTTTGTTTTAAATGAGATAATGCATTGGAAATACCTAGCACAGACCCCAAGATGCATTTATTTGTTCAACAAATATTTCTTGAATGTCCTACATGGGTTGGACGCTCGGCTGAGCACTGGGGCTATAAGAGGGTGTGCAAACAGACATGGCTGCAGCCCTCAGGGAACTCACGGTTGGGCAGGGAGACAGATATTAATCAAAACATCACTTCAATGAATGTTAAGGTGCTATCATCATGGGTTCTGGGAAGAAGAGGTCCATGGAGCTTTTGGAGTGTTGGGTGGAATGAAGGCTTCCAGAATACATGACAGAGGGCTGAGAGCTGGAGAGAGAACAGAAGATAACTTAGAAGTGAGGGGAGAAAAGATTTTCCAGGCTGAAGGAATTGAATCTGAAAGGCCATATGGTAGGAAGACTTGGGATTCTGAGAGAAAGCCAGAGTGGCTGAAGTGAGGGCATGAGATAAGGCCAGAGAGGTAGGCCTCAGGCAGACCAGGCAAGCCTGTTGTCCAGGCCAGGAACATTTGTCTTTACCCTGTAGACAGTGAAGAGCCATTCAGTTGCTTTAAGCAAAGGCATGGTGAGATTGAGTTTGTATTTCAAAGACATAACTGAAGGTGCTAGGCTGCAGGTAGCCTGGAGGGGCCTCAGATTATATGGGGAGACCCATTAAACTTTGACAGCTGGCCAGACAAGAGATGATGGCATCTTGGACTGGGCAGTGATGGTGAAGATGGAGAGAAGAGACAGATTCAAGCAAAATTTAGGAGGCAGAAGTGATTGAATGTCAGGGGAAAGCAGGCAGAGGGGCTCCTGGGGTGGCAGTCAGTGCATGAAGACAGGTGGTGGCACACTGCATCACTGCTGATGGGCACCATTTCTGACCCTGGATTCTGGAAGAGCGTTCACCCCCATTATCAGGGCCTGTGGTGTGCTCTTAGCACTGTTTGTTTTGTCTATTCCTATTTGAATGTTATTTTTCTTGATGGACTTGCTGGAAGCCTATCCTACTATTTCTGCCTTCTGGAACTTGACACCAGGTCCCCATCATGGGCTGATCTCTTCTTTGCTCTGACCCAATAGCTTTGAAAGAACTGATAGCTTCCCAATTTTCAAGGCCCATTTCCCTGCACCTGGCCCATCTTATATCTTTGGGAGTGGCCTGGGCATCAGTAGAGAGCTCCCCATGTAGCCATGGGGGTCTCTGATACCTGTCTCTTTGGCCCCATGGCTTTGTGCCCAGGTGCCAATGCTCCCAGAAGATGGAGTAGCAGAGCAGTGGAGGAAACTCCTTGAGTCTGGGTCTATCCACACCCCTCACCCACAGACTCTACTCAGGTTTCATGCCTCATCAGAAGACTCAGTCCTGGGATGCTGGCTCTAGCATCCCCAGGGCAGGAATGGGCTTCAGGGCAGACAAGGACAGAGTAAGCAGAAGTAGGATCCTGAGATGGGCTAAAGAGCCAATGTTGGGACATCTGAGCTGCCATTGGCTGGGCTTGGTGGGGTGGGGGTTGGTACTTGGAAGCAGGTCCAAACTCATGCTCAGGACAGGCTACAGTCCTAGGAGGGGCCTGGGAGGCCTTCTTGTCTCCCAGGTTCTGCAGGTGGGTTGGGAAAGTGTATTCACAGAGGTGGATACACATTCATATGTAGATACATGTGAATGAATGGTCCTATGTGTACAGTCTTGTGTGCACGTAAGTGAGCATTCCTGCAGGTGCATGTGGGTGTACATCCATCCAGGGGGTTGGGGGTGGGCACTGGGTGCTCATATGCCTTATCCTGAGTAACAGCCTGACCCCTGTCCTTTGGGCAGGTGACTGGCCTGTTTCATGACCCCAGCATTGGGAACCCCATCCATATCACCATCGTGCGCCTGATCCTGCTGGAAGAGGAGGAGGTAAGAGGTCTTGTGGCCTCCACTGGCCCCTGAGGATGAACAACAGCTGCTAGAGCCCTCCTGCCCCACTGCTAAGCTGCCCCATGTGGAAGGGCAGACACAGCAAGGACCTCCTTGGCCTGAGCAGTGCCATTCATCACCCTCCAGTCTCTGGCTCAGGTCACCTCCAGGAATGTGTGTGTGGAGTGGTGTTCAGGCTGTTTGTCTTCCCATTGCCCCCTCTGGGCCTCTGTCTACCTCCCTTGGACTGAAGAAAATTGGAGCTCAGAGAGAGAAATGAGATAACAGATGGCCAGGCCTTTCTTCTGAAGCACCTCTGGGTAGACTTGAACCTCTAATCTTTTGATTAGCAGCTGAGCATATTAACTATTTACACCACCTAAGGACTCTCTCTGTGTCCTTCAAACAAAAAAAACCAAACTCACTGCCATTGAGTTGGATCCGACTCATAGCGGCCCTTCTTTGGGTTTCCAAGGCAGTATCACTACAAAAGTAGATTGCCCAATCTTCCTTCCAAGCAGTGGCTGGTGGGTTTGAACCGCCGGCCTTCTGGTTAGCAATCAGATGCCTTAGACACTACACCACCAGAGCTCCCTCTGTGTCCTTAGGAGGACCTAAAGATTACACACCATGCAGACAACACCCTGAGGAGCTTCTGCAAGTGGCAGAAGAGCATCAACATGAAGGGAGACACCCATCCTCTGCACCACGACACCGCCATCCTGCTCACCAGGTACTGTCGGCTGCCAGAGGGAGTGGGGGTTGTAGGAGAGCCATCATCTGAAGGAGGTTATGTCTTACCTTCAAGAAGTCCTGATTTTGGGAAAAATGCAGTGCTGCTCTCAGGGAGCCCCATTCTGAGGAGAGTTTGGGTATCTTTGGCCCAAGGTTAGATTTACTTTGGCCTTTAAGAATTGTTGTTATTGTTAGGTGTGGAGTCCAGTTCAACTCATAGTGACCCCGTGTGACAGAGTAGAACTGCCCCATAGGGTTTTCTAGGCTGAAATCTTTATAATGGCAGATCACCAGGTCTTTCTCCCATAGAGTACCTGGGGGCTTCAAGCTGCTGACTTCCTAGTTAGCCGTTGAATGCTTGACCATTGCACCATCAGGGCTCCTTCTTACAGAATTGGTATTTTTAAACTCCAGGTGGAGTTAATGTCCCTCTGCTGGGTGGGCTCTGGCAGCTTCTATCAGCACCCTCACTGGAAGAGTGATCAAAATTGTCTGTGCACAGTTCTGCTTCCCAGGCCCAAGTATATGTCCGGGGATCATGTGTGAGTGAGGGTACGTGCTCCTAGATGGCTGCTGTATTGTGGCGTGAGATCATGGAGCAAGCAGTGGGAGGGAGCATCTTTCCCTCTCCCTCGGGGTCAGTTCAGCCTGAGGGCCTGCTTCTCTCTGTATGTGCAGGAAGGACCTGTGTGCAGCCATGAACCGGCCCTGCGAGACCCTGGGCCTGTCCCATGTGGCAGGCATGTGCCAGCCACACCGCAGCTGCAACATCAATGAGGACACGGGCCTGCCCTTGGCCTTCACCGTGGCCCATGAGCTCGGGCACAGGTACCTTGCCCACTCCTATTACCACTCCAAGAACCTAGATTCACCTTCCCAACCTGGGGGCACAAGGCAGCCAGGCCTATGAATTATAAGATTCCAGGGGGAAAAGAAATGGCCTGGGAAAGGGAGCCCTGACTTGGCCTGGCTGTGTACTGTCTCCATATATCCCTACCCTTGCGACCAGGGCTGCTTCCCTGTAAACATGAGACAGAGGTACTGCCTGGGCACCTCTGGTGCTGGCCTGGCATAAGTCTTATTTAAAGAGGGGCTAGGATGGGCCATAAAGTCACCAGAGGTCTTTGACAGACCCTTCCCCTTTGTCCTCTGTGCTTGCATTTTTAACTCTTGGTCCTGGCTACCTACTCCCACTTGCCCTGTGACCTTGGGCAAGTGTCTTCTCCTCTCTGGGCCTCTGTGTGCTCCCTATTGGTTGAAGGAGTTGGATTCACTGATGTCCAAGGCTCCCTCCCTCTGACACTCTGAGGCTTCCATGTCTAAGCATGGCCCATGCCCTTATCCTCTGTGCCTGGGAAGGTGGCAGGTTCTTGTTTAGCTAGTGAATATGGTAGCATCTGAAACTGACTGGTGAGCCGATGAGGGTCAGAGGTGTTGGGATCATCCACCCAGACACTGGGTTCCCTGGGTTATGGCCATGCACATAGGGCCTTGAGGCCACCCACGAGGTGGAAAGAGCCCTTTGCCCTAATCCTAATCATTTCCTAGCTGTTAGCCTGGCTAGTTTCTTAGCCTCTCTGAGCATGTCTGGGGATAGTAATGCCTCACTGGGAAGTCTTAGTACTGAGCAAGGTAGTGTTTGTGAAAGTGCTTAGCTTGGTCCCTGGCTCAGAGCAGAGGCTCCAGAGATGTGAGTTTCTCATGCTTCTCCTAAGGATGGTCTCCCAAGAGCTTTATGTGATGCAGTAAGCCTCCTTAGCTTAACTCAAGTACACAGTCTGAGGACAATGACCTGGGCACAGGGGGACCTCTATTAGCCTGTTCCTGGTGCCAGTGAGGTTGCCAGGCTATGATGGGCCTCCACCCTTGGCTTGCCATTGCTGGCTGGCTGGCTCTGCAGCAGGAGCAGGTCAGCCCTGGGTCAGTCAGACTTGGGCTGGTGTACCTGAAGCAGGACCCTGTAGGATTCCAGCTCTCACAACCATATTTGAGATTGAGGAACCTGATCTCAGAGAGGGGATGTGACTTTTTTCAAGGCTGCAAAGTCATTTCAGTTTCCCAAGGTGGCAGGGCTAGCCTTGGGAGTCAGGACCTTGCGGACTTCTGCGGTGGGGGCAGGCTGGCGGCCTCCCACTGCCTCACTTGCCCCTGGGGCCTGTGTCTCATGCAGTTTTGGCATTCAGCATGACGGAAGCGGCAATGACTGTGAGCCCGTTGGGAAACGGCCTTTCATCATGTCTCCACAGCTCCTGTACGACGCCGCCCCCCTCACCTGGTCCCGCTGTAGCCGCGAGTACATCACCAGGTTCCTTGAGTAAGTCCCTCCCCAGCCCTGATGTCCTTGTCTATGACATTAAGGTCTAGTGAAGGAGATGCAGACAGTGATATACAGCACCAAGGTAGAGGGGCACCTGAGAAAGATGGTGGGTTGGGGTTCCCCATGTCCCAGGAGGGACATCTGAGCTAAATCTTGGAATGTCAGCAAAGGTTCCTGAATACACAGAACAGAGAGGAATGGGGTTCCTGGTAGAGGAAACATGAATGAAGGCCTGGAGACATGAAAGAGAAATAATGTTCAGTGAGGTTATGCCAACCAAGACTGGATAGGAAATGAAGCTGGAGGAGGTGAAGGGCTAGGTACATATCTTGTGGAGTCCAGTGAAAAGCAAAGGAGCCCTGTGGCACAATGGTTAAGTGTTTGGCTGCTAACCTAAAGGCTGGCAGTTCTAACCACTCCCCAGCTCTATGGGGAAAAGATCTGGCAATCTGTTCCTGTAAAGATTAAAGCCTAGAAAACCCTATGGGGCAATTCTACTCTGTCATATGAGTTGAAATCGACTCAGTGGCACCTAACAACAACAGTGAAAAGCAGGGAAACAAGTGTCATTAACGGTACTAAAATATAAAGCTTTTTTTTTTTTTTTTTCCTCTGCATTCTCTCTCAATTTGTCATGATATTTTTTTAATTATCTTTTATTGTGATTTGGGTGAAAGTTTATGGAGCCAATTCATTTTCCAGACAATTCATACACATTTTGTTTCATGACAGTGATTGCAATGCTCATAATGTGACAGCTCTCTTCCCGCTTCCTCCCTGTGGTTACCTTTTGCCTGTGTCCTTCTTTCCTATGCATTCCTGCCCTTTGAGCTATCTCCATGTGCAAATACTGCCCTTCTGATTGCCCATAGTTGATTATTCTAAGGAATGTACCTACCTGGTGTAAATGTTCATCTTATATGGCTGTCTATTATTTGTCTGGAAGTCATGGGATTAAGTTCAATTCCAGGCCCAAAGGATGAGGAGGGGCCATAGTCTCAGGGGTTTCACCAGTCTCTGTCAGACCAGTAAGCCTGGTCTTTTTTCTATGATTTTGAGTTTTGCTCCACATTGTTCTCCCACTCTATCTAGGATCTCCTGCACGGAATCCCTTTCTGAGTGATTGACAGTGGTAGCTGGGCACCATCTAGTTCTTCTGAACCCAGGTCATGTAGGCTGAGGTTCTCATGGTCCATAGTCCCTTGGACTAATTGTTTCCATGCATCTTTGGTTTTGTCTTGGTGTTTTTATTTGCTACTTAATGTCCTAGGTAAAAAAAAAAAGTTAAAAATTTAAATTATTAGCATAAATTTTACCATTCATCTTTATTTTATGCACTGTGAGTTCTAAATGCAAATGTAAGAACATCTGACTCATATACAGAATCACTGAAATGATGTAAATCATTATTTCTTAATTTGTACTGACTAGAGAACTCTGGTGGTATAGTGGTTAAGGCATTTGGCTGCTAAGCAAAAGGTCAGTGGTTTGAATCCACTAGCTGCTCCACTGGACAAAGATGAGGCATCTGCTTCCATAAAGATTTAAAATCTTGGAAACCCTGTGGGTGTCGTTATGAGTCAGAAATGACTCCATGGACAGTGGCAGTGCTGCACAAAACTAACTCAACTGGTTTGATTTTACTCCTTGATAAGCATACATTGTCTCCTCGGAAGGAAGTTTGGGGAATCTACTTCCATAGAGATACTGCCTTGGAAACCCAAGGAGGAGTCAGATCCAACTCGATTGCAGTGAGTGTGGTTTTGGTTTATGCATACATTCTACCATACCTTCCCTTTCCTTCTATCTCATTATTTTTCTGTGTGTTTGGCTAATACAGGGAAGTAACATGAATAAGAAACGATGATACAGTTCCCTGCTTGTTTGATGTTTCTTAGAATGTCATTTCCTTTTTTGTGCATTTGAAGCAAAATCTTGTTCAAATGCAAAGTGGCTTCAGAGGCTGTCAGCATCCCCTTTTACTCAGTTGTAGACATAACACTCTTACTTTGTATTTGCTTTGAGTCTGTCTGAGCCGCCTACACATTCTGAGTCCACTAGGATTCTGTGCTCCAGGGCAAAGCAAATGCTAGATGTGATTGATGCAGCAAAGAATGGCAGACCAACTGCCCATCTCCTCTGCTCATGTGCCTGCTGCTTTGTCCCATCAGGCCTCACAAAACTCATGTTCAAAAGATAATTTTAAGAATTTCAAGATGGCAACAACAGATCATTAGATTTACCTTCCTCACCCCTCCCCACTCTTTACCTTCTTTATCTCTATGCAGTCACTTTCAACTTTAATTCTTTCAGCTTTTTCTTTACATTATATACCTTTATATTTCCAAATAGCACCCCCAGACTGTTGTATCTTGATTTTTTAGTTTAAGTCTTATTTGTTGATTTGTACAGTGAGTTCAGCCCTCTCACATTACTTTCTGCACACACGTTTGTCTTCCCTGCTATATCCCAGTAAAAGTGTTTATGTATTTTGAATAGGTCTGTATTCAGTGTTTTCGTTATTATGACTGTGTAAACCTTCTTTAAAAAAACCAAACCAAATTCACTGCCGTCGAGTCGATAGGACTCATAGCAACCCCTCCTTGGGTTTCCAAGATGGTATCTCTACGGAAGTAGATTGCCCAGCCTTCTTTCTGAGGAGTAGCTGGTGGGTTTGAACGGCCAGCCTCCTGGTTAGCAGTCAAATGCCTTAGGCACTACGCCACCAGAGCTCCTAAACCTTCTTTGTTGTTAGTTAAATCAAGTGTTGTAACAAGAGGACGTTTTCTTTTTTTTTTTTTAATTGTGATTTGGGGAAAGTTTACAGAGCAAATTCATTTTCCATACAGTAGTTCACACACACTTTGTCTCATGACATTGACTACAGTTTACCCCAATGTAACAGTTTACCTCCTACTTCCTCCTAATAGTTACCTCTTCTCTGTGTCCATCCCTCCATGCACTCCTGCCCCCTGAACTGTCTCCCTGTGCATAAACAGCCCCTCTTTCTCCCATGATTGTTCTCTCCAAGCATTGTATCTACCTCAGGTACATGTTCAGCTCATATGCCTGTCTTTTGTTTGGCTGGAAGCCACAGATGTGGGTTCAATTCCAGACCTAAAGGGCAGCTGGGGGCCATAGTCTCAGTGGTTCCACCAGGCTCTATCAGACCAGCAAACCTGGTCCCCTTTTCTTTTTTTTCCAAATGATTTTGAGTTTTGTTCCACATTGTTCTCCCTCTCTATCCAGGAAGACATTTTCTTTTTAAGGATAATGTTTTTCTTTGCCTTTGGCTAAGTCTCCTACATCCTTCAAGAGTTCTTATAAAGTGTCTCATAATCCAGTTTTCCAGAAGGTATTTCCTACCAGATAATCTAACAGTTCTCTTTTTTTCCCTTGAACCTTCTCCCTCAACTTCCCTCTGTCCTCCTGTTCCAGTCTAAACTGGATGCTTTCTAGACTTGCCCTAAAATTGTTATGCAAGGACTTCCTGTTTCTGAATCCCATGCTACCTCATTTTTTTTTTTTTTTTTGCAGGGGGTTATACTCCTTTGCTTTGGTGAAGTAGCTTTCTGAGAAACAATGCATGGAAGTAAATAGTTTGTGTCTTCTTACACAGACTTTCAATGACACACTTGTCCTCAGCTGTACTAAAAACACCTTTTTTCTTCCCTCATACCTAATACAGGCATGCCTTGGAGATAGATATTGTGAGTTTTGTTCCAAACTACCGCAATAATGGAAATACTGCAATAAAGCGAGCCACACCAGAGTTTTGGTTTCCTAGTGCATATGGAAGTTATGTTTACACTGTACTGTAGTCAATTAAGTATGCAATAGCATTATGAAAAAGTTTGAAATGTGAGAATTACCAAAACATGACAGAGACACAAAGTAAGCACATGCTGTTGGCAAAATGGCACCGATAGACTTGGTCGACGTAGGGTTGCCACAAAGCTTCTATTTGTAAAAAAGGCAGTCTCTGCAAAGTACGATAAAGCAAAGCACACTAAAGTGAAGTCTGCCTGTAGTTTAATTTGATACTGACTTCTAGGTTAGAAGGAGCTCTCCCTGAGAATTTTGAAGGCATTTTTCCACTGTCTTCTAACTTCCAGTGTTGCTATTGAAATCTCATACCATTCTGGTTCCCCAGCCTTTGAGTGTGTGACCTTTTAAAAAATCTGGAAGCTTTTGGAAATCTCTCTCTCTTTGAAATTTTACAGTTATGTGCCTTGGTCTATTTTTATTTATTATCCTGGGCACTTAGTGGACTCTTTTAATCTAGAAATTCATGTCCTTCAGGTTTGAGAAATATCTTTGTATTTATTTGGTAATTTTCCCTTTCTAATTTAATTCTTCAGTAATTTTCTCTTTCTGGAATCCTTAGTATTCAGCTATCTTTTCTTTTTCTTTTTTTTTTTTTTTAACTTTTTTTTTTTTTAATTTTATTTTGATTTGGGTGAAGATTTACAGAGTAAATTCACTTTTCATACAGCAGTTCACATATACTTCATCTCATGTCATTGACCAAAATTTACAATGCAACACCTCCCCTCCCACTTCCTCCCCATAGTTACCTCTTCCCAGTGTCCATCCCTCCATACTCTTCTGCTCCCTGAGCTGTCTCCCTGTGCATAAGCAGCCCTTCCTTCTCCCATGATTGTTCTCTCCAGGGTGTGTGTCTACTTGAGGTAAATGTTTAACTCACATGCCTGTACTTTTTTTGGCTGGAAACCACAGTTGTGGGTTCAATTCCAGACCTGAAGGGCAGCTAGGGGCCATAGTCTCAGTGGTTCCACCAGGCTCTATCAGACCAGCAAACCTGGTCCCCTTTTCTTTTTTTTCCAAATGATTTTGAGTTTTGTTCCACATTGTTCTCCCTCTCTATACAGGATCTCGTACATCCCTTCCAAGTGGATGACAGTGGTAGCCGGGCGCCATCTAGTTCTTCTGGTTTCACAGTTGTATAGGTTGCAGATCGGATGGTGTACCAGTCG